TCTATCTATCTATCTATCTATCTATCTATCTATCTATCTATCTATCTATCTGTCATCTGTCATCTGTCTCTCTCTCTCTCCCTCTGTCTCTCTCTCTCTCTGTCTTAATTTTTTTGTGCCACTCATCTCCCTTATATGGCAATGAGCAATTTACAGATTATGGTATGTTATGGATATATTCCAGATTTCTAGACTTTAACTCTTAATTTGAATAATGTCTGTGCTAGATTGGGAATTCTGAGAGATGAAATCCATACAAGTATGTAGCGCCCAAATTTAAGAAGATATGTTAATAAGAAAGTTGAAATTCCCTCTGAATGTTGCTACCAAATTGTGGTGTGCTAAAAGGGAAGATATTTTAAGATATGCTTGGAGTAATTGTATTGATTTAATGTTAATTACTATTAGAGCTTAAATTTTTGTTCCAAGAAAATGTATTTTTGCTACTGTGGGCCTGTGAATTCAATTTTGCCATGAGAAAGGTTGCTTATTTGTTATACATATAGAAAATAATTGCAGCATGTGCATATACAGATATGGAAAATCATACCTGTACACAAGTCCTATTTCTTTTACGAGCCATTTCAGTTTGAAGTGGTCATATTATCTATGCTACCTACCTTCTGCTGCACCTGAAGCTTAACTCTGGTAATATCACACTACTAACCAGAGCATACAAAACATTTGCTAGACCAATACTCGAATACAGTTCATCAGTCTGGAACCCACATTACGTATCTGATATTAGCACAATTGAGAAAGTCCAGAAATATTTCACAAGAAGAGTTCTCCACTCCTCTACTCGTTGTAGAATACCTTATGCCACCAGACTTGAAATTCTAGAACTAGAAAACCTTGAATTACGCCGTCTTCGGTCTGATTTAAGCATGGTATATAAAATCATACATTGCAATGTCCTACCTGTCAATGAATACTTCAGCTTCAACCATAACAACACAAGAGCACACAATAGATACAAACTCAAAGTTAACCGCACCAAACTTGATTGCAGGAAATACGACTTCAGCAATAGAGTGGTCAATGTCTGGAATACTCTACCCGACTCTGTAGTTTCTTCCCCAAACCCCAAAAACTTTAACCTTAGACTGTCTACTATTGACCTCACCCCTTTCCTAAGAGGTCTGTAGGGGACGTGCATAAGCGCACCAACGTGCCTACCGTCCCTGTCCTATTGTTTCTCTTATTCTTCTTTTATTTTTCTTATATGTACCCATTTCATGTATTCACAACTATGTATACACTTATACTTATTATCTTGTAAACAATTGGCAAATCAAATAAATAAATAAATAAATAAATAAATAAATAAATACATATGATCTATAAGTGTGTAAATAAAAAATAAGAGAGCTCTACCTGAAATTAAATAATTTGAAATGAAAAACAGACCAATGTTGATTTTGATATCTTGCTGTGGATTAGCAGAAACTCTACACTAACTTATCTAAACTTGATAGAACTATTTTTTAAAGATCTAGATTTAGGTAATAGGTCTACTTGCTCTGTAAATTGAATATAGAGTTTAAACCAATGAAGAGATTATTTTCTCTCTCTCCGCTAACCTACAACTTTCATGCATGCCCAAATGTCTTCTCATTACTGAGCTTTCACACCAGCTCATTACTATCATTACATGACCATTAATTATATTTAAAATAAAATGATCTCAAATGAGTTTAGCAAAGGAAAATCTTATTAAGATTCTATTATTACTTACTTTGCTCTGCAGAGGAAGAAAATAAACAATGGGGTTAATTATCTGCTTTTAGCTAACAAAAACCTAATATTAGAAAGTCAGTGTCTTTTGGAAAAATGTAATGGGTTTGCTTTGGTTTATTAGTCTTTTCTGAAAATAAATGGCAATATCAAACCAAAACTCTTTGCATTTCAGGATGTGTGCTTCAATTTTATGGTGGATGATTACAAGCTGATTGCTAATCCTCAAACATTTAACTAAACTATATCAGCACCCAACAAATTCCCCCTTTTAATGATTTCCAATCCAATAAATTCACAAAAAATGTTAAAAACTAATCCAAGTAATGCTCTGTAGCAAGGATGACCATTGGATTTAAGACTAGAAGTTTGCCTTCTGAAGGGAAATTGGAATGATATGAACATTTTGGTTCCTAGCTCTCTTGTTTTAGAGTAAAGTAGAAAAGCAACACAAATCATATCCCCAATTTTCACACTTTCAGCCTATTGGGAGCAGGTTTTTAAAAGCAACAGAAGTCCCTCATATCCATTCCCACTCATGATTTTGAAGAAAGGAAAATAACAGAGAAATAACAGAGAAAGAAAGTAGAAATGTGTTCTTCTGGTTTTGTGTCTTTTTATTGCCTCTTCGCCACTCTGATTATTACCCATGACTCAATCTCCATTGAAAAGGGTCTGCCTAATTTTTTCTCAGAATTGGTGTGGATAGAAAAATCTTTGCTCAATAGTTTTGTTTTAATTTAGGTCCCCTGGACAATCACTATTGGCTTTATTTCTCCACAGTAGAAGCTACTAACTATCTGAAATATGTTATTTAAACTTCTGGGAACACATTACCATCTGATTCTGCTGATGCCCAAGAGATGGTTTATAGATCCTAATGTAAGAGAGAAGGCAATTTCAGAGGACACTTGATGGAAAATAAAGAAGAGAGTATTCAATAATAAGATGTATTGAGAATTGTGTAGTTGCTACCGTTTAATTTTTTTTTCCTTCTCACATCAATCACAGTTTAATTGAGCTCTTTTAGTTTATAATGGAAATTAGAGATCTGGGTATCAATGAGAGACAGAAAACCGTGGCAACTTTGACATTGCCATAAAAATAAATTCCACAATAATTTATTTCTTTCAGTTAGATGCGAGTTATTAATTAGCCCTAATACTCTAGCTGCAGCATTGATTCTGAATCAGCTTGGGGAGCTGAAACTATTTTAATCAAAATGTTACAGCTTTAATTTGAGCATCCCCTCTTGTGTTTTAGATCTACATGCTAACGTAAGAAGCTTGTGTGTGCAATACAAATGAACAAGCCTAGTCGGTTATGAGAAAGAGACATGAGGCCAAAAGTTGGAAGT